GGCGTGTGCCAGAACTCCCGCTCCTCCTGGTCCTCCTTCAGCTCCTGGTCCTCCTTCAGCTCCTGGTCCTCCTTCAGCTCCTGGTCCTCCTCCAGCTCCTGGTCCTCCTTCAGCTCCTGGTCCTCCTTCAGCTCCTGGTCCTTGTTCTCCAGTGACCTGTGAAGGCAGATCCAGGCAGTCCAGGTCTGATCTCGTCTCACCTACACCAATTTAAATAATCTTAAAAATTAAACAAAGCATCAAAGACTTCTGGTACTAAAAGAAAAGATTAAAGGAAGACCCTGGTCCTGGTCCTGGTTCTGGTTCGGTCCAGTAGAGTTTATTTCATGGAGAAACAAACCCGTGTTCTCCAGAAAGAAAAAATTTTCTGAATTTTTCTGCAGCTGAACCCTTACATCCAGAGTAAATATCTTACCTGCTGCAGAAGATTAGAGTTTAAACTCACGCTGCGTTCTTCTGCTTCTCCTCTTTAACAGATTTTCTGCGCGCCTCCTCCTTCTCCTCTGCCCTCCTCCTCAGGTACTCCCTCTCCTGCTCCCCGACTCGTCTCCTCACCTCCTCCAGGCCCTGAGCGGCTCTGATCCGCTCCGAGCGGCTGACCTCGGTCCCGTCCAGCCACTGAGGACACAAACCCGGTTTGAGCTTCTSTCCTCAGAGAAACGAGACGAAGGCAGGTGAAACTTCCTGTGAGGTTTGTTGGACCTGAATCTGAGGCAGCGCAGCCACAACAAAGCGCCTGCAGCCCTGGAACTCTGAGCAGGGGTTCCCCACCAAGAACAGCTCCCTCAGGTGGACGTTGTGTTTCAGAGACTCCACGCTGCTCAGGAGACCCACGAAGTTCAGAGTCAGGTCCAGCTTCCGGAGGCTCTCGAGGCCTGAGGGCAGGAGACAGACTGTGAGCCACAGACGACACGACGAAGGGATCATCTGAAGCTTCAGTTTCTGCACAAACCCTCCAGGTTTTCAATGACTTCGATGTTGTTTAAGGCCAGATTTAAATATTCCAGCTTCTTCAGGCGACCCAGATTCTCTGCAAAACATCAGARCTCACAGGATGAGAAATACTGTATAAATCATTAAAATAATAATAAACTAACTCAGACTTGTGTTCTGACCAGGGTTATAAAACTAAAACTATCATCTTTTTACAAAACCAACTGAAATTATAGACAGAATATCTTTAGTTTTAGTGTTTGTCTATTTATTTTGAGCCGTGTGACAACAAAGGTTGCAAGAAATCGGCAAAGTCCACTTTATTATTTTTTTGAATATGACTGCGAGAAAAATCAAAACAACTGTTTATCTGTGTTGTATAAAGTACCACAAAGTGATACTTGAGTAAAAGTACAAGTATCTTACCAAAAA